GAGAGAGAGAGAGAGAGAGAGAGAGAGAGAGAGAGAGAGAGAGAGAGACAGAGAGAGCGAGAGTAAAGGGCGGGAAAGACAAACAGAGAGTGGAGCGTGCAAAGCCTCTCGAACTCACGCGATTGCCATCTTACGAATTTGTGTTGTTTATACCATCGTATAGAATCAGCGACGCCCGCAGACCTCGACAGGGAAGCCACCACACGCTCATACGCTAATGGAAAAGCTAAGGCTCGTGCAATTCACAGCTGACTCCTCGCGATTTATCAAAAGCGCCGTAAAACATATTAAGTACATGCAGAACGGTAAGAAGAATAGGCAAGACTTGATGTGTTATTAAACTTTGGCTTGGTACAGCTGATGTAGGTGGTGGGTCCGACTATGGCTAGCTCTTGTGTATTATTGTTCAGACGTAATCGCAATTACATAGCCAATATCTTTGGATTAGATTCATTGGGTACAGCGGGTTAGATTCATTCATTCGCCCCTGATGTATAGTTAGCGAATTTATTTTATTGGAGTTTAGTGTGGCTAAAAGTTGCCAGTTACGAAAGCACGGTCGGGTCAGAGGAGGATATGACGCTTGACTGTAATTATAATGAATAACTAGCTCTGTAAATAAGCCCGTTGTCAAAAAACATCATAAATAGTTATGGCATCTTGGGTCTAAAATGATATGACTTTTAATATATAGTGAAATGCTCAGACAACAGGCCCCTGGCGGGCACGGACAATGTGCATGCTGTCCGATTTAATTATTTGGCAGTACTGGGTAGTGCAGAAGTATAGAGAAACACGAGTTCATTTGGTATTCCACTACCACCGCGTCCTCACTACTATCAGTGTATTATTTTACGCTTTTCATGCTCTGCTATATATACGGACGTTGGGGACATATGCTGTCAGGTCATGCGCGCTCATGTTGGAGTTAACTGGTCAAGTGGGTCCGTTCGGCTCTGGTGCGAAGCCCTCGCAAACTAAACAAAGTAAACTGTCCTTAATATACATCTAAAGACGTTCGTTTCTCGCCGTTTTAAGTGCAGCGAAAACCAGATCGCAGACGAGCGAGCGAGCGAGCAACCCCCCCGCGCGCAACCGCTTCTGCAATGCTGGAAATATTTACGGAGCTATATGCGTCATCAGTGCTTCTTACGTTTAGCGGACACGCGCGCGCGCAGGCAGCAAGGGAGTATACGGCTGACTCAGTTACACTATACGCCCATAAAGAGGTGCACGGGCGGTGTTTACAGGGGGCCACCTCACTCCACATGCAGACGCGGAGAGAGGAAGGCCGTAGCTTGATGGTATTTATTATTGCTGTTTTCTGCTGCGTTAATTCGTGGTTGAGTTCATCGAGGTTATACGCAATAGTTGAGAATGAGAATTAAACAGTCAGATAAATAGACACATACGGATGGACAGACAGACAGACAGCCAGTCAGACAGACAGACAGACAGACAGACAGACAGACAGACAGACAGACAGACAGACAGACAGACAGACAGACAGACAGACAGACAGACAGACA